CCCCCCCCCCCCCCCCCCCACTGGCCTTCATCCCGTATCTGCTCTTTGTATCTACATTCCAAATCAACGAAGATATTTCCATGGTCACAAGCTGCCTCCAAAGTAGCGAGCAAATAATCAAACAGGAATGAGATAGAAGTATCTTGTTCCCACGAGTTCTCGAAGAAACCAATGGACCACGTCGCCATGCTATGGACATGGTATTGAGATGCCTCCGTTGGTGGAAGAACCTAGCCATTGGTGACGGGTTTTACTCTCTGTCGAGCAAGTACCTCAGGCGTTGATTGCTTTCTTTGCTCTCCCGTCGTCCAACCCATCTTCCAACCCATTCCAGGTCGTGAGCACGGCAGTCGCGTGGACGAGTCTGGGCTTCTCGTCTGACTTATCGATGGTCGGATCGGACGCCGTCATCGGCTTGCCTGAAGAGTCTACCGTCGAGGAGTACGACTTGACCTCCCATGTAAGAACCGGGAACAAACACGTCGATTTGGCACTGCCGAACGACGTTAGTTAAGGTTGCACATGTACGATGCTGGAGAGTCCCGCGCCCTCGACATCTGCTTCATCGGTCGCGTTGTTCTCGCACGTGTAGCACTGCTGCTGAGGTTCTTGGAGTTTTTCTGGCTTTAGAATCTGGTGGTGAGAGGATGATTGCATGACCGGCCCTTCATAATGAAGCTTCCATCTCGCGCTGCACGTGCTTTTGTCACGTTCTGTAGTGTTTGTTCAGCGCATGCCCGAAGAAGCATAACTAAGCGCACCGATTGCATTTCTTTCTTCACCGCTGGCGTTGGCATGCACAGCGAATACCCACCATGGCATGCCATCAAGTGTGACCTTCCTGTGGACTGACGTGGTCCCCCTTTGGATGGCATCCTATATCCGTTGTAGCGTAACCCCGCTCTACCCGTGCCTTCCTTTCCCCCCTCTCCCGTCCCCATTGGACTCGCTAACGTCTTTTCCCCGGCATGAATCGTGGAAAATGTTGCCGTCCCAACAACACAATCCCTCTCGCCGCGAAACGCAAGGCGCTCGCGGGAGTGGTACTCTCCTCAACGCAAGATATCACTGGCGGCTCGGTGAGCCAAGACGCGTCCGGCACGACGCTCTCCTTCACCAGGCCCCTGGCCCCGGCGAACAAGCAGGCCATCTCGGGAACTCCCGGGGACGAGACCATATTCATCTACGCCTTCGGCGAGGGCAACGAGCTCGCGTTTCACGGACAGGCCCCCAACCGGGGGGACTTGACCTTGGATCTCTTCTGCGGGGAGGGCGGCGACGGTGCGACGGTCGCCGGAACGCCTGCCCCGACGGTCGGCGGAACTCCCGCCGCTTCGGAGGCCTCCTCTACGGCACCGATCGCCGCCGACACGCTTACGGCGGCGCCCACGATGGCGGTGTCAGGAACACCTCCTTCTTCGACCCTCTCCATGGCGCCGACGACGGTGGAGACAGAAACGGGCTCCTCTTCTGCACCCTCTTCGGTACCCACGATTGCACCGACCATGGTGGCGGTGGAAACGGGCTCCTCGTCCGCTCCCTCTGCGGCACCCACCGGCGTCGAGGCGTCCACGTCCTCGCCCACGGGGGCTGCAGGGGCGACGGGCTCGGAAACCATGGCGCCGAGCGCCGCCGATGGTGACAGGGGCGTAGATGTTCCCGGAGAGACTGGCGCTCCTACCGATGCGTCCGATTCTCTGCGGATGACCGAAAGCCCGTCGTCGGCGGGGGAAGGCCCGGTGGATGAGGAGACGGACGGCGCTCTCCGCGTGGGAGGCGGGGGAAGGTGGGCGGCGGCGGCGGCGACTGGGTTCGTGACTGTGCTTGCCGTCCTGTCGTCGCTCTAGTGTGGCAGCCAGGCGGGGGCGTGAGCGGCGGTCACGTTGAATCACACTGAATGCTTTGCGTTTTGGTCTTTGGACGCACGCACGTATGCACACGCACGCGTAGAATATGCAGTCTACTGTCGTTTTGTTCGTTCTTTTGCTGCATATCTGCGGTACGTCTACATCTATCCTTCCTCATTCTGTAGGGATCTGTTTTTGAAAATTGCTGTAAGAACTTGACCTTCGCTGCTGTGTCTGTGTTGATTTTGTCAATCTCATCATTGCGGCGTCGTGTTTGCTCATTCAGGGTGCCGCGAGGCCTTTATACTTGCCGCATCACTTGCCTTTGTCAGAGTGTTATGTTCTACTCTCTTAATTCATTCAGTCCCAGTGCAGACCTTTGCCTGTCGCGCATGATGTTTGTCTGAGGCGATCGAAGCGTGTTGTGCGCCCGTGCATGGTGCGATGTTTTCATTGGTCTGCGTTTGTTGACCTACATGCGCGGTAGATAACTTTGTTAAGTACCGTGTGTCCAGGCAGCGTGCGAACCTTGGTGCGCGTTGCGCAAAAAACTCGTCGGGGGATAGGAATACGGGCTGCGACGAGCGTCCGTCTTCGGTGACACTTCGTATTTTTGTTTGGGGCCTGAGAAAGCCCTCGCCGGCATTTTGCGGCTAGAGGTTGTGGGAGAGTACTGTAGGATCATCGCAGCACTTCGTAATGTGATGCGGTTGGGATAGAAGGTGTCAATAATGCACTGTTTGGGCTGTGCGGTCAACAACGACGTATACGTTGTGAGTTCGACCAAGTTGTATGGGTGTGGTGTTGATGTGGAGCGTTACCGGCGGTAGATACGAGTCCGAGAGGGCTGTATGGTTTCCCGCGAATACTTGAGGTCGGCGGCGGCATATTGCACACTTTGTTGCTTGGGGTGTAGGGAGCGTTCCGAAACAGTACGAGGGTTCTATTTCGCGGCGGAGCGTTTCCCGTACGGTGCCAGCTGTCTCCTGGCCGCCTTTACGCACGGAGTGTTGGTTGAAGGACAATGCATACTACATTGGTGTCGCAGCTTGCCTCGGGCAACCGTGCATGCCGGTCCTCTACGAGACTTGTTATTTTCTGAGGTGGTATCTCGCTTCCACCGGGCGTTGCCCACGCGAAATTTCAGTTGGGTTTAACGTTCTGACTAATGTGTGTAGAGAGCACAGACCAGATGAAGAATCGCACACAACCAATCAACACCTGTGTTGGTTGAAGGAACGATGCATACTACAATGACTCCCCTGTCCACCGAGGACCAGAGGGGGGGGGGGGGGTACTCATAGTCGTGCATGCCGTAGTCGTTAGACCATTGACCTCGCATCCCTACAAAGCCGGGACGGAGCACGCCGGTTTCTCACAGGACCAGGCCCTCACATCATCACATCACCAAGCGCGTAACAACGCCACATGCTAGGTACAAGGTCATTGGTTCGGGTGTTTAGTTTTTTTTCTGGCCACTGCGCACGAACCAATTTCTCGGTGTGGTCTAGAGTAAGGGAGGGTATTAAGGGCAACCTAAGGCACCACCCACCTCGGCAGCTCGTTCTCTGGTGTCACGATGAGTTATGAAGAGTTTGAGGTATCGGATAATAGCCTATATCATAGCCTATAAAAAAAGAAATTTGGAAAAAAGTTGAGATGGCGATGAGATATACCCCTCAAAGTATACCTGATTTCCAGATAAGAACGGGCGGAGAACGACCGTGCGGGTATTAAGGGCAGGTTCCGGTGATGGTCGATTTGCAAAGGTTCTGAAGCGTACTAAGACTTAATATTTGGCACACATAATCTTAGTATGATGGGCGTTCGACTAAAAATAATAAATATAAAATCGGCCACGACCGGGGACACAATGCCCATATCCCCGGTTTTTCGGCTCAATTCTGCGGGGCGAAAAATACCCATTTTGGGGGGTAGTGCGGGTTGTGTTGCCTTGAACCAGCTCAACCGTTGAATTTGATGAACTAACGACTAGTACGCATCCTGTTCTGAGTCACAAAATAAAAAAACGTTAAACGGATGCCTATGGATGGTGATATGCCTGTCCAAGCATGGGCACTGTTGCCCCCTTTTTGGCTTGTACGGCAGTAAATTCCGCCAAAACCGTGCCACATGTTNCGTTAAACGGATGCCTATGGATGGTGATATGCCTGTCCAAACATGGGCACTTTTGCCCCCTTTTTGGCTTGTACGGCAGTAAATTCCGCCAAAACCGTGCCACATGTTGAAGCAACTATTTTACACCCATATTAACCCCCCGCGTGACGCCGTTTCAGAGGAACGTATTGAAGGTTCCAGAAAACAGGTTGGATAACAAAAAAAAAAAAAACACATAGCCCAGGGGACAAACGTACAGCATCCCCGGGTTTGTCCACAAGTTGTCCGCTAGCCATTCCCGCCCCCCTCGACGTGCTGTTTGACAACCACGTTACCTGAAGCACCCTCGTGACCCGTACTGAACACTCAACAGTTCGAAATCAGTTCCACACACAAATTTCAAGCCATTCAGAGCTAACTTTAGCCCGATACCATGTGGTTCTCTGCACAACAATACAACCCCCACCTCCCCGAAGAAACCTAGACATCCACTACAGGTGTCGGCGTGCGGGTTCGTCCCGATCGCGATACGGACGCCGCCGGCGGCTGACCCCCGGTGATTCCTGACCCTCCCGCCCCTCCCGCTCCTTCAGCCCCTCTCCCACCGCGGCTAGGACCACCTCCCCGCCCATGCACCCCCGTGCCCTCGCCGCGGCCACCAACAGTGTGCCCGCCCACCCGCGCGCCCCGCCCACGCCCCCCTCGCCCCCCTTGAACAACACCAACACCTCGCCCCCCCCCTTCCTCCCTCCCTCTCTCGGTTCGCTCGTCCCTCCTACTCTCCTCTTCTCGCCCGCCCCCCCGCCCCCTTCCCTGGCCCCGCCCTCTGCCCCGCCC